TCAACAATTCCTCAAGATCGATGCCTTGAGTCAAAATATTCTTTGTTGTGGAGAGTTATCCAGGATTCTATCCACTAGCAGCCAGTAGTAACACTCCAATTGTTACAATCAAAAATGACTCCAGACACTGTCAAAAGCACCATGTAGGACAAAAATGCCTCCAGCTGAAATTCTAGATCCATTCTAGCAAAATTGTAAAAGGCTGTGAAAAAAATGCAATAGCTCTATATGTCACTTTACCACCTGTCAGAACAGAACTCATACTTTAAAAGGAAAAAATTTTTAAAAATCAAGACTCTTAAAAAGACAATATTCAAAGTGTCCAGCATCCAATCAGAAATTACTAAACATACCAAATATTGAGATCCATAAACAGAGAAAAATCAGCATGAAAAGGACCAAAAACTGAAATACTTACATGTAGAAGACCTATACAATAAAAATTTCAAAGCATTTCTAAGACAAATTAAAGAGCTAAATAAATGAAAACATATATGGTGTTCATAGATCAGAAGACTCAATACTGCTAAGATGTCAATTTTTTCAAAATTGATCTACAAGTTCAACTCAATTTCATCCAAAATCACACCAGGCTTTCTTTCTTTTCTTTTTTTTTTTTTTTTTTTTTTGTACAAATTGACAAGTTTGATTAATATTAGAAATACATAGGACCTAAAATAACCAAAACAACCTTGAAAAAGAAGACTAAAGTTGAAGAAATTACACAATCTAACTTCAAGACTTAGTACAATAATTGAGAGTTGGGCACTGACACTGAAAGAGAAACAGATAAATATAGAGTTCAGAAGTGAACCCATATACAGGTAGGTGGCAAGCAATTTAGAAAAAAAGGATAATCATTTGAACAAATAGTGCTGAAACACCTGTATAACCATTTGCAAAAAAAGTTTATTCCTTACCTTGCACTATACACAAAAAATTAACTCAAAATTAATTATAGAAGTAAATGTAAAACCTAATACTATAATACTTATAAAACAAAAGACAACCCCCTTGGGTCCCTTCCTGCTCTGGGAGCTTTTCTATCCTCTCAATAAATCCTGCTTTCAAAAAAAATAATAAAAATAAAATAAAACAAAACATAGGAAACAATCTTTGTACCTCAGGCTAGGCAAAGATTTCTTAGATACATCAAAATGTTATCCATGAAAAAAAAACTGAGAAACTGAATCTCATCAAATTTGAGAACTTCTGTTCTTTGAAAAACTAAATGATCATCCAATAGACAAGGAAAAGATTTGACAAAATACCTACTTCATGATCCAAAAAAAAAAAGCCAACAAACTAGGAATGCAGGAAAGTCCTAGAACTAATATCATAATTAATAGAGATTGAATGCTTCCATTCTAAGATCAGGAAGGAGGCTCTCACCACATCTTTTCATCATTGTACTGAAGCCGCTAACCAAGACAATTAAGCAATTAAAAAGAAATTAAAGGGCATCCAGATTAAGTAGAAAGAAAACTGTCTTTTTCACAGATAACATAATCTTAAAACTGTTTTTATTCACAGATAACATGATTCTATAGGTGGAAAATCCTAAGAAATCTACCCCAAAAAACCCTACCAGAATTAATAAGTTAAGCAAGGCAACAGAATAGAAGATCAATACACAAAAATTATTTGTACCTCTATACACTAACAATGAACAACTCAAAAAATTAATTTAAAAAATTATTTATAATGGTATTAAAAAGAATAAATATTTAGGAAAAGTTTTTTTTTTAAGACCTAGATTTGTTCACTGAAAACTACAAAAGATGCTCAATATTATTAGTCACTAGAAAAATGCAAATTAAAATCAAATAATATACAATTACTCTTCTATTAGAATGTCCAGAAAGCAAAATTGAACATTCTAAATGTTGAAGAAGATGTGGAATAACTGGAATGTCCATAGGAACCTTATTTGTAATAACTAAAACCAACTCAAATGTTCATCAACAGGTAAACAGAAAAACAAATGCAATATGCTCATACAATGTAAAACTACTCAGAAATAAGATTAATGAACTACAGTAAGTCTTCACTTAACATGGTTGCTAGGTTCTTAGAAGCTGCACTTTAAGTGAAATGATACTGCATGTTCAACATCGTTTCACCAAATGCTGACGAAAAGAAAATGGTATTATTAGAAGTCACTTTTCTTAAAGTTACAGTTTTCAAGAACATGGTCAATGATGTCAAATGAAGGTTTACTGTACTAATACATGCAACAACATGGTTATAAATCAAAGTAATCATACTGAAAGAAGTAAAACCAAAAAAAGCATACAAACTATATGAGTTCATTCATATAAAAATTCTAGAAAATGCAAACTAATTTATATTATGGCTATATACATTACATCAAAATGTACCAAAAAACTTTTAAACTTGTACAGCTTATATTTCTATTGTACTTCAGTAAAGCTATTAAACACACACACATATATCCACACATATATATGAATAAACAACGAGAAATATGCAGTCTACATGAGGAAAATACTTCTGAAAGACAAAAATATAGATTTCAAGAATTGGAAAGAAACATGTTCTTTCCCAAGGGGCACAGAGAGTTTCTTTCTAACTATGATTCAATATCCTAGAATCAATTTTTTAAAAAGAGAGAAAGAAATTAAAAAATCCAACTACATGAAAATAAACAAATGAATAAAAGCTTTTACATGACTAAAAGCATGTAAAGTCAAAAAACAAAACAAAACCCTGCAATCACCACCTAAGTGGGGAAAAAATTTGCAACTTGTTTCAGAAAGTTAATGTCCTTAACATAAAAAGAGCTCTTAGAAGCCAAGAAAAGACATTGTGGCTCCTGCCTGTAATCTCAGCACTTTGGGAGGTTGAGTCGAGAGGATCACTTGAACTCAGGAGTTTAAGATCATCCTGGGCAATATAGTAAGACTTCTTCTCTACAAAAAAATCAAAAACTTTGCTGGGCATGACGGAGTGTGCATGTCCTAGCTATTCAGGAGGCTGAGGCAGGAGGATCCCTTGAGCTCAGGAGGTCAAGGCTTCAGTAAACTGTGGTCGTGCTGTTGCACTACAATCTGGGTGACAGAGTGAGAACCCCCACCTCAAAAAAAGAAGGAAAGAAAGAGAGAGAGAAAAAGGGAGAGAGGGAGGGATAGAGGGAGGAAGGGAGAGAGGGAAGGAAGGAAAAGGAAAGGAGGAGGAGAGAGAGGGAAGGAAGGAAAAGGAAAGGAGGAGGGGAGAGGGGGAAGGAGAGAGGAAGGAAGGGAAGGAAGAAAAGAAAAAAAAAGGCAGAACAAAAAAGACCAATGACTCCAGGATCAGTGGCTCAGCCTGTAATCCCGCGCTTTGGGAGGCTAAGGTGAGTGGATTGCCTGAGCCCGCGGGTTCGAGACCCGCCTGGGCAACTTGGTGAGATCTCATCTCTACAATAAATCAAAAAATTAGCCAGGCATGGTAGCGCATGCCTGTAGTTCCAGCTACTTGGAAGGCTGAGGTGGAAGGATCGCCGGAGCCCAGCAGGTCGAAGCTGCGGTGGCCGGGAGCAACCACTGCACTCCAGCCTGGGCGACAGAGTGGAGACTCCAACTCAAAGAGAAATAAAAAAATAAAAAAGACCAATGACCCCAGAGAAAATAGACACAAGTCTAGATAATTTACAGGGAAAAAATGCAAATGTCCCTTAAAATTAAAATAAGAAGATGCTTACCTTTATTCATAGAGAAGTACAAATTAATACTACATTTGCATACCATATCAGAAAGGTAAAACTTTGAGATTTAACTATATACTGCTGAGTCCGTCAGAGAAAACATAATCTAATATACTGCTGGTAGGTAAATAAAATGATGTAAGTATACAAGGCAATTTGACAATACCTACAAGCAAAAATACATTTACTTTTTTAAACAGCCATCCCACTTAAATAAATCTACCCTAGAAACATACTTGTACATGTATGAAACAGCATAGGCACATTATTCATTGCACACATGTATATAAGCAATTATACCCATCATAAGAGTCTGGGTAAATAAATATACAGTAAAGCACTTGCAACCTATAAAAAGCAATGAGAAAGATCTCCTCATATGGATACGGAATAATCTCCATATCTACTATACTATGCATACATGACATACTTTTAAGTTATTAAAAACAAGGTATAAAACAGTGTATAACTACCTTCCATGCAAGATTTGAGGAAAAGGACAAGAATCTACGTATTTGCTTACATTTGCAAAAATTAAAATCAAAGTAGAAAAAAATAAGCCAGAAAATAAAAAGACTGCCAGTATGAAAAAACTTCTTAAAGGGAACAGAATAACAGAGAGACATCTCCGAGTTACATTTTTAAGAAGAGAAAACAATCCCTAAAAGTTAAAACAAAATTGAAACAAATCTAATTGTGTACTGAATTTATAATAGAGAAAAGAATTCTTTCAAGTAGTTTTTAGGCATGGCATTTTGACTGTATATCCTTAGTGAGATTAGCCTGAGTCAAAAAGAACTGCAAGGAAATTTTGAACGTTATTAGAGTTGTCCAAAGTGATATAAATATTGCTGTTCTGAAACTATGTATGCTTTAAAGTCAAAGCTAATAAGCAATTATGTTGATACTGCTAAGAACTAAGCGTTTTCTACAAGCAAAAGTATAAGGATAAGAAATACAAGTTTAAAATGAGAGAAACAGCAATATGAGCTCAAGATTTCTGAAAATATGTATTTCCTAATTCTGTTACTTGAAGGAAAGAATATCACAGTAGCCAGAAACACCCCTAAAGGCCTGTGTTTGTCCCTGATATGCCTTCTCCCCATTAGAAGTAATCAGAACCTCTGGAGAAAAGGCCGGTTCCAGACTGTGTATAAAATAATCCTGAGATATATTGTGTAGGAAAGGAAAAAAGCTTTCAAAGACTGATGAGACAATGAAACCAGCTTTAAAAAAAATTTTTTTTAAACACTGAAACAATTACCCATATCCCAAGGCAAACACTGATTCTCACCATATCTATAGCAAAAAGGCTGCTGTCATCCCAGATAGCTGCTGAAATTGCTTCACCAATAAGTATCATATCCTCTGCAAGCAATTCCAGAACTCTTATTATCATTTGTCTACTACCTAGGAACACAAATATTGGGAGAAAGTAAGAAAGAAAAAATGTACTTAACTTTAAAATAATTAGCTAAATATCACACTTGCTCAATTCTCAAGTTAGCCATGCCCCAGAATTTCTTTCTTATTTTAAAAAATGTCTTTAGAACTGCTGAAAAAGATGAATGGAGAAATTACAATCTATAACTACCATTAAAGACTTGTTCCAATCATACTACTTGACTACAACAAATAAAATGTGCTCATGATTGGGAAAGGTACTCAAGAAAAGAATATCAATAATCTAAAGTTACTGAAATAGGTTAAAATAAATTTTCAAATTCAGAGACCACCCATATTACACGTAATAGGTGACAAAGCACCAGGCAAGTTCAGAAAATGTATTCTAATAACTAATATTTAGTACCAAAAGGCTTAAGTTTTGTCATAAATGAGTACTTTCTCACACAGGAGTTGCCTGGGAAGCTAAGCCTGGACTGGAGCAACTAAAAGAATAAATATTCATGCTATCACTTGCTGAAGAAACCTCAGAAAATTCTGTCTGTACTCACCTTAAACTCCAAAAAAAATCCAAAAGAAACTGTGTTGACAGAGTCATACTCACCAGAGCAATCTTTTTTCTCCACAGAGACAGAATAACAAAGGAATTCTATGCTCCATAATTCTGTATGAGGTGAACATTCAAACAAAACTTTCCCACCCTACATTCCAAAGGTTAATTTCTAATGAATAAAAGTAAAACAAACTACCAAATTATAAGGAATTGATTTTTTCACCAGAACAGCTGGAGCAAGTCTCTTAGAAATCTCTTATGATATTGAACAATTACAAATTATGCAATAGCTTACCACTAAAGGGCAAGAGAACATTTAGAAGTTTTTATGTACCAAGATATAGCTTTATAATTATCAATCTAACTTTTCACAGCAAATTAAGAAAAGGTTAAATGCAAAATCATTAAGTCTAAAACTGTTCTTCTCAGCATACCAGACAGATAAACATATACACTTTATGATGCCAAAGTTCAGATCTTCTTTTATTTCACATTATAGTATATGTAACTAATATATAGTCCTAACTAATGGAAACAGTTATTCACTCAGTGAGAAGTATGGTATATAGAATTAAAACATTTTAAACGCTTCTCAAGTATCTATCTTACTCCTTCTTTCTTCCTCATCACTTCCAAGCAGGCAAAAAAATAGCCACGAGACTTTAAGAACCATTACATGGGATATGTTTTTTACTTTGCCAGTATAAACTAAAAAGAGCAAAACTCACTTATTTTGTATTTATATCTTGACAAGTCTATCGTGAAAATGTATAAATTGAGATTAAAATTTTTACCACTTCCAAAACTTTCTTTACCTTACAAAATGCTAAAGTAAGCCGGGCTCGGTGGCTCAGCCTGTAATCCCGCGCCTTTGGGAGGCTGAGGTGAGTGGATTGCCTGAGCCCGCGAGTTCGAGACCCGCCTGGGCAACTTGGTGAGACCTCATCTCTACAATAAATCAAAAAAAAACAGCTGGGCGTGGTAGCGCATGCCTGTAATTCCGGCTACTTGGAAGGCTGAGGCGGAAGGATCGCCGGAGCCCAGCAGGTCGAGGCTGCGGTGGCCGGGAGCGGCCACTGCACTCCAGTCTGGGCGACAGAGTGAGACTCCAAGGCAAAAAAAAAAAAAAAATGCTAAAGTATTTAAAAGCACAGACTTTGGATTCAGAAGAATCTTAGTTCAAGTCCCTGCTCTTAGCTGTTTGGCTTTGGGTAAGTTTCTAAACCTGTTTCCTCATTTGTAAAAATGGAGATAAAAACAGTTGAAAGGATAAAATGCATTGGTGTGAAGAGCGCATAGAATCATACACACAAAACCAAGTACAACAGCTGAACACAGTAGGGACTCAATATAGGGTAACGGTTGTTTTATTACTAGACCCCAGTAGCCATCAGTCATATTGTTATTGTTGTTGCCACTCTAGCAAAATAACAACTGCATACCAGTATACATTTCAGTACATCTCTTCAAATTCACCTAGCACATCTGAGTGAAAATGTACTCCCAAAATATTCATGGGGTTTAAAGGAAAACAAATTACTACAAAGGTAGGAATCCAGTTTGGGGTTTTGTTTTTAACATGTTTCATGGCTTATGTAAGAAATGGAAAATAATGCAAAGCAACTAAGAATTCAAAAAGTTCATAAAGGGTAAAAGTCAAAGTTTTTCTTTTTTATTCTAGTCTATACATGATAGTCTACCTTTTCTAACCTATTCCAGTTGCATTACATTGCCAGTGTTTTAAAATAGCCATAAAGAAGAGGAATCTTGTGTCAATAAAAAACCCATAAAATGGAAGGGGATACTCTGTGGCATCTAGATTTAATAAAGAAATAATAAAGACTTCATTAAGTTCTTAGAAATTTTTAACCCAAAAGATAAGTAAATATAAATTCCGAAAGCTATAACACACAAAGAAAGAAAAAAAAAGAAACATCCTAGAAAAAAATACAAAACACAAATTGTATAAGAACTATGATTTCAAAAACAACGAACCTGTTCTTAAGAGAGGAACTGCTGATTCCAGAACTGAGACACAGAACTGGGGAAGACTGAGCTGCTGGAATTGGAGTTCCAATGTATCTTCAGTTTCCAGCTCTGGCAGATCTATGTGTCCCATATCCAAAGGTGAATGTACAGATATCCTAGAGTTTACATGAGCATGACTACTACTTCCACTGTAAAATAAACAAATGATAAATCTTGCATATGGGAATAACTCTCAAACAGAATTACTGCATATCTGCTGCCTCGCATATCAGAAGTCTTATACTAGTCACAACTTTATTGCTTCATGTAACAATTCTGGTCAGATTTGTAAAGGCAAAACTAAGTAGATCATATAGTTTCTTAGATTTTCTGTGATTTTCACCAAATGTTCTAAGAAGGATATTCCCAGAAAAACAACTGAAGGATGTTCCCAGAAAAACATCATGGGAAATGTATTACTTTATTAGTACATTCAACATCGTATAATGATTTTGAAAATACACACAAAATGGAATATCTCATCTCCTTGGCTTTTTTCATTAAAAAATGTCTTTACCTTGGATGTAAAGTCATTGGGTGAAGATACAAAAGTGATATAGAAAGGCTTGAACCTCAAACCTCACTTACAAAAAATCTCAAAAATTTGACTTTTTGATTATATCCACAATTGAACCTAAATCATGGAGATATACTAATGCTATTGAACATTTGTACATTGTAAGTTCTTCAAATCTAATACAAATTTGTCATTTCTTCAATTTCAAGATACCAAGTAAATATGGAAATGACCTGGGCTACTCTCAAACTGAGAAAGGTCTCAAGCTTTTCAAGAATGAAAACTTACAGACATACAGCACACTAGAGAATGAGGCAGAAAGGCTTTAAAAGGGTAAAGAAGCCGGGCTTGGTGGCTTAGCCTGTAATCCCGTGCATTGGGAGGCCGAGGTGAGTGGACTGCCTGAGCCCGCGGGTTTTAGACCTGCCTGGGCAACTTGGCAAGACCTCATCTCTACAATAAATAAAAAAATTAGCCAGGCGTGGTAGCACACGCCTGTAGTTCCAGCTACTTGGAAGCTAAGGTGGAAGGATCGCCGGAGCCCAGCAGGTTGAGGCTGTGGTGGCCGGGAGCCACCACTCCAGTCTGAGTGACAGAGTGAGACTCCAACTCAAAACAAAACAAAACAAGAGGGTAAAGAGAAAAATCCTAACTGATCAACTAAATACAGTATTAGACTAAGAGCATAGGCTCTGCTGTCATATTATTCAATTCCAGCTCTGCTCTTTACCAACTGTAATGCTCTTAACCTCTCTAAACCTCAGGTTTTCTGTAAAATGATAATAGTAATAATAATACCAGTCCTATTATAGGACTATTATAAGTACAACTAAAGAGACAAAGTATGCAAAGCACATGTGCACAGTTAGCAAGAACTGGCATTAGCTTGTAGCAGTATCAGCAGTATGAAAATAATCAAACCAACAAACAAATGTTCATTTTAATGAACATTTTTTTAAAATGACACTAAAGAAGAGACTTATATGTTTTTAAGATGTTTGTAGCCTAAGGATAATTCTATTCTTTTAACATAAAATACCATGCCAATCCCTTTAAGCAAAGTTAATATATGAAAGTCTGTATTAACACAAACAAGATATAATAAATCCTGCATCCTGAAGTCCTTGTTTAATAAAAATATTTTCCAAGAATTCTTTTTAATAGTAAATACTTATACACTTAAATTATGATTAAACTTAGGAAAATATGTTTAAAATACTACCAAAAATGCATCTATCATTTACAGCTATGATTTTAAACCAGATCACATTCTATATGAAAATGGTAAAAACAACTTATGGGTCAGAATCGTCAAGCTTTTTTTAATGAAGTAGAAAGGAACAGAAAATATGGTTCAGTATGTAGAGTAATATTTTGTGAACATTTTGTTTTGGTGGACACATGTATACATACAGGGCATATGTTTGTGTGCTGAGTATTGAATTGTAATGTAATATTTACTTATCCTTACTGTAGATCATAGTCAAAAAAGTACGAAAGCCAGGGTTTAGCACAAGGCCTACAGCTGTTGTAATGTTTCAAAAAAGAAGACAGAGAAAATAACTATCTCCCTCTCTCACACACAAGTTAACTGGGCCATTTCTAATTTTCCAGAGAAATAGCCACCAGTCACCTAGAGGACACTGCATCCCAATCCTGGCCATCTCCTCTGGGTCGCTGGCCTGTACGCCCAACCACAGAAGGCCGAGGGCTGCTGCTTCCTGGGGAAGGATTCTGAGAATGATGAGGACCTCTTGCTTCATGACAATAAGACAAAGAAGAATTTTGAGAAACTGTATCTGAAAAAAAAAAAAAAGAAAAGAATAGAATTATCCTTTGGTAGAAACAGACTACTGATTATATAATATCTATGTGTCATTCTTCCAAAATCACTAACAAAATTAAGATAGGAGAAATGGTTCTACAGGGGTAAAAAAATCAACCTTTTCTCTGAATATTCACTTAGCACATTTAGGTTTCCATCTAACAGACCTGATTCTACGGAACCTTTTGGTCAATGGTATTCACTTACGTCAGAATACTAGATCATGCGCTCCTCTGGTTAAAACTCTCTGAGAATCCCTATCTCAAGCTATATGCAAAAATTAACTCAAAAGGGATCAGCAGAAAAAATTAGATGTAAATCTTCATGACCTTCAATTTGGCAATGGAGTCTTAAATATGACATCAAAAGCACAAACATCCAAAGAATAGATAGTAGATAAACTGGACTTCATCAAAATTTAAAATCTTGGTATGTCAAAGGACAATATCAAGAAAGTACAAAGACAACCTAGAGAATAGGAGAAAATATTTGCAAATCATATATCTGATAAGGGTTTAATATTCAAAATATATAAATACCGCCTAAAACTTAACAAAAAAGAGGCAAACAACCCAATTTAAAAATGGGTAAAGGACGTTAATAGACATTTCTCCAAAGAAGATACACAAATGAACAATAATAAGTACATGAAAAGCTATTAGGGAATCATTGGTCATTAATCACTAGTATTTAGGGAAATGCAAATCAAAAACACAATGAGATACCATTTCACACCTAGTAGAAGGTTATGATTTTTTTTTTAAATGAAAAAGTATTACGTGAGAATGTGGAAAAACTGAAAGCTTCACATATTGCTGGTGGAAATGCAAAATGGCACAGCTGCTATGGAAAATAGTTTGGTAGCTCCTCAAAAAAGCTAACTGCAGAACTGCCATATCTATACCCAGAAATTCTACTCTTAGGCCTGTACCCAAAACCTAAAAACAGGGATTTGAACAGATACTTGTATGTCAATGTTCACTGAAGCATTATTCGTAATAGCCAAAAAGTAGCTACCACCCACATGTCCATCAACAAACGAATGAATAAACAAAATGTGGGCTATACACACAATGGAATATTATTCAGCCACAAGAAGAAATAAAGTCCTGATACATGCAACAATGTGAAGGAAGCCTGAAAATACTACAAGTAAAAAAAAGGAGACATAAAAGGGAAAATATTGTATGAATCTACTTATATGAAGTATCTAAACTAGACAAATTCAGAGACAGTAGATTAGAGGTTACTGGGGCTTTGGAAAGGGAAAAGAAAAAGGCATTGTTTGATGGTTACAGAGGTTCTGTTTAAGATAACAAAAAAGGTTTGGAAATGGAGTGGTAAAGGGTTCATGACAGTATAAATGTAATTATTGCCACCATACTATATAAATGGATATAGTATGGATATAATGGCATTATATAATACTATATAAATGGATATAATGGCATTATATAGTACTATATAAATGGATATAATGGCATATTTTATAGCATATATTTTACCACAAATTTTTTAAAAAAGAATTAGGTAATAAACAAATTTACAAAGAGAAAACCAAAACTCTCCAAGAGCTTCTCACTACACTTCAAAAGACATATAAAATCCTTATGAAGATCTACAAGCTCCAACATGCTCTGGCCCTTTATCTTTCTGATCTCACCTCATTCCCCTCTCCTCCCCAGCTTACTGTACTCTACTTTCATGGGTCTCATTTCTGTTGCTCAAGCACATCACCCTCATCCCTGCCTTTAAGGCTCTGGCCTCCCCTAGAATACTCTTCCTGGAGCTTTTCAACTGGACAGTTCCTTTTCACCCTTCAGGTCATCTCCTCTGAGAAGATTTCCCTGACTACTCTATCTAAAGTAAGCTACATTTCCCTAATCACATTCTGTCATATCACCCTTTTTCTTTTCTTCCAGCACATCTCCTTATCTCAAACAAACTTTATTATTTATTATCTTGCTCCCACCCTTCTAAAATACAAGCTCATTAAGGGCAGAAATCTTATCTGTTCAGTGTTATACCCCCAACAAAAGTCAGAATATTAGCTGGCATATATAGTTAATTAGTAAATACTTATTTAAAACATGATTAAATCTTCAGAAATATCAGCTATTTTTATCACCACACTTAAGTTTTTCTGCTGTAGTTTGGGATACCCAGAAGCTCTCTATTATCAGTCATTTACAGAATACCATATCCCAAGAATACTAACGAGGAAGTTTCATACCCATTAAGATCTATAATAAAGCCAATGTAAAGCATAAATACACAGGGTGCCAAAAAAAATGCATACACATTTTAAGAAAGGAAAAAACGATATTAAAATTGTAATACCCAACAAGATGAACACGAGTCACATTTGGGCTTCTGCAATTACAAGAGGTGCTCATCAGCGTCCAGACACTTCTGACTATGGAGAACATCTCTTAACATCTCTTAAAATCTGTATATGAGTATTTGGCACCCCCGGTATTCAAGTAGCATAGGATAAGTGAAACTCCCAACAAAATAGGACTTAACTGTGAAGCATGATGACAAATGACTGTACCATAAATCTCCTACATACAAATGAGTTCCATTCAGAAAGAGCATTCATAAGTCTAATTTGTTCACAAGTCCAACAAAGTTAGCCTAGGTACCCAACTACACAATCATATAGTACTATTCTGTAATAGGTTTACAATGCTTTTCACACACATAATATATTTTAAAAAACACAAAAAATAAAGAAAACCTTTTAAACCTTACAATACAGTAACTTGAAAAGTACTAAGCAGTACAGTACAATACAACAGCTGGCATACAGGGGCTGGCATCAAGTAAACAAACAAGAAGAGCTACTGACTGGGTACAGTAAAGTACTGTAAAGTAAGTAGAGTACCATACAGTAAAGTACACAAAAGCACAATCACTTGTAGCATATGTACACATGTGACAATGTACGCCAGACACATGAACTAACTTACATGATTGGACACGGAAATGCATGTTTGCACCTTTGAAAGCTCACAACTTGAAGGTTCGTATGTAGAGGACTTACTATTAATTAAATATTCGACTTTCAATGCATTGTATCAGCACACAAAAATCCTAAGTTGTAGATACTGTTTTGTCAAGGCCAGTCTGGTACCCTATTTGGCCATTAGGGGACGCATTTTCTTTGAAAAGCCTGGCATTGCCATCATACAACACTCTAACAACATCATAAGTTGCATAAAAATAGCTTTCATAAAATATAAATCACTATTCTTCAAACAGAACACCTGTATCGATGCAATATATAATTTGCTAAATGCCCAAGTCCCACATGAATAGCCACACTCAGAATCCTAGTCCCTACATTCCAACACCACTCTGCTTATACAGAATCTCCACACATCTGAGAGAAAAAAAGAAAAACACTTTGTAAATGTCTCTTATCAATAAAAAAGGAAGCACAGTTGTTCTGTCATTCATACAGTTTGTATTCAAAATTGAAATACAATTCCATTTAGAAGTGAAAAGTTTATGTTGTAAAAATGTATACACAGCAAACTCTAACAGGAAGTATAATGGGAAGTTCTCAGAAGAATTTACAATGTTTGTGGTTAAGAAATAAATTAAAATAAATACCCTGTTTATTAGAGAAAAAACCTGGATCTCGGTGAAAGTTAAGTCTGTTTCTTAAATACGTGCACAGCTGCTGCAAGCAAGACACTGACTGTAATGCCAGGCGATGTTTTCCATCTTCTCCAAAGGTTAGTTTCAACAGAGATAAAAGGTTCTGAAATAAAGAAGAGTAGTGAAAATGATTAAGGGAACAAAGTGCTCAACTTCAACGAAGAATGTGGAGCTTAAGGGAAAACAATAATCAAAAGAAATAAAATAAGTTGCTAAATATTTCTAAGACACAAGAAACAAGTGGCCAAAAATGACTTAGCTTAATGCAAGAAGATGGATCCAAAAAAGGCAACAAAATTTAAATAAAATAATAAGCATCTCTCACTTCTAAAATTGGTTAGTTGAATATCCATTCTGAGAGAAAGCGGGAATTATTCCCCACTCAGGATATTACACTACACAGAACTTTTAAAAAAATCACAACAAGCCCTTTTTCTCTCAGAGATCCAAATCACTTTACTATGTTTTGGTAATTAAAAGCTTTTCTTCTGCTATCATTTGCCAGTTGTGAGAGTATGTATGAATAGTAGCCACTCACCGGGGTCCATATCAGCCCTGTGAGCGTGGAGCAAGAATGCCAGAGATATGCCACGACTCCCACCCTGTACCCTGCCTTCTCTATTGTGTAAGCAATGGACTAGACAAAAGATAAGAATCCCATGTTGCTCACTGCTACTGTGTTTCCCCAGCATACAGCACTGGCCTTAAACAAACTAGAGACTCAAAAGGCAATTTCATTCTCACTGTTAATAATATGATTACATTTAGAAGTGGGTAACAAGGGCTACTGCTGTTCAACCTCAACTTCCAAAGTCTATTCTACCCTTTAGGTAGATCCATCAGCGGTAAGTCAAGGTGGCCAAATTGGACTGCTGGTGTCAGATGAAACTACTACTACTGGAAGAACTATAACTATCCACGCAAGTTAGTGAATAAGTGGTTTAAATAGACAAATACTTCATTTAAAAAAAAACATTAGTACAAATTTCCTTCCCAAGAACTCCTACTCCGCAAAAAACTTTTATTTTTTTGAGTTGGCATTTCACTCTTTATCACCTAGGCTGGAGTGTAGTGGCACACTCATGGCCACCGCAGCCTCGACCTGCTGGGCTCAGGCAATCCTTCTGCCTCAGCCTTCCAAACAGCTGGAACTACAGATGCACACCACCACACCTGGATAATATTTTGTGATTTACTATAGAGATGAGGTGTCACCAAGTTGCCCAGACTGGTCTCGAACCCCTGGGTTCAGGCAATCCTCTTGCCTTGGCCTCCCAAAGTGCTAGGATTACAGGCTAAGCCACCGTACCCAGCCCAAAATTTGTTTTACTGCAAAAAAAAAGGCTCTATTTCAAAATCTAAAACAGTTATAGAGAGTACTCACCTGGACAATTTTGGGCCTTTGAAGAAAAATCTCAGCAGGAAAATCTTGCATGATAACATCTTTCAATAGTTCACAGGTGTTCCAGATTAAAGTGTGGTTACTACTTCTTAAAGAGCTACAAAATACAGTATGTTCATTTTTAAAAAGAGTTCACCAATATCAGATTCTAGGTAGCCTAGTGGCATAATGATCTATTAACGATCCTTCAGGCCTCAGCTAAGATTCACATCTCCTGAAAAGCATTCCTAGATAGTTCCCCTAATCAAACAAATAATAACTCTAGGGAGGTGCTTCTTCTATTTGTCTATATATTGTGATACTATAATTGCTTGTTGATTCTGCATCCCCCACTAGACCCTCAAGAGCAGACTACATCACGTTAACCACTATATCCCCAGAGACTATAATTATGCTTTAAAATGAGATCAGTGAGGTCAAATGCCACAAGATTAATTGAAATCTGCTAAATAAATTATGAGATAAAAACAAAATAAGTATACAGGTAAATTCTAGGAATTAAATTCCTTTCTGATCTTCTGTACTCTTACTGATCTTCTGTACTTTAGGTAAATCAGGTTAGGATACCCCTCTTATCCCATACAGAGGACACCTCTCAACTTCTGCCCACTAAGGGTTGTAGCAGTTGTTCACTTCCCACCCGAAGAAATCAAATCCCATCTCTCAGCCCAGTTCCAGCCCACCATCCACTTTCCAGAAGTATGCATTAGAAACTAGCACCATCTCTACCTTAGGGACCAACTCAGAACTAACAGATCATATAAGTCCCTGCACCTTTCTGATGTGCACTCTACCTCTTGAATATTTTGTTCCAAGAGAATTTACCGATGCCTTAGAAGTGCCATCATCAAAAATCATTTAATAGCATCCACCTGTATCTGGCCCTGGCCCTAGCCCTAGCAAGCTGATCTTATTTTCCAGATTTGTACCCCAAAGAGGCAGTCAACTCATTTACTGTAGCATTCACTGAATGCACAAAGTGAATCTAGACATTAAAACACTGCAAACTTCTATATGTCGGCTATTTACTTTGAAGGGTAGCAATCATTAAACATGCATGACATAATATCAGATCACTGGTACCACCCTTCTCATCACTGTATAATTGTTCTAATGGAGCCCATGTTTTGAAATATATTCTACCAAAAAGGCAGTGTTTATTTTTAAGTTTTTCATTTTTATGAATCCAAGGTAAAAGCAATAGCCAATGACAGAATCTGGTCAATAAGAGAATAACTCATGTCATCAAGGACCACAAAAGATTCCAAGCACAAAAAAGAAACTTGTTGTGTAGACTGATTAAAAAACAGAAATTTTTCTGGCCTGGTTTTCAAAATATTGAAAATCATTCATACATGCCCATTATTATCTTTCACAACCACTTAGTATCTTTTCCTGGTGAAAATATATAGTAGTAAGTATCAGACTTAATGTCCAAAGATGAACAAAAATACCTAAAACACATCAGGCACTGTACCTTTCATTAGAAGAGAGAACATGTCTATCTGTTGTGGTCAGAGGAAGCCACGGAAATGTAGAAAACTTCAAACACCTCACCGTCTGATTTACTGTCAAAAGAACAGCAAAACTTAAGGTATCAAAGAATAAAAAGATGACAGATTCACAATGTGAAGAGTAAGGTTTCATCTTTAAAACAAGTAAAGGCCACATCTTACAGTAACCTAAAATATGTAAAACAAGGTCAGCTACGAATTTGTTCTCTCACAGGATAAATAACAGAGCTCTCTTTCATAATTTAAAAAGAACTCATATAATATTTAAAATAAATACTAGAGCTGGGCTCGGAGGTTCAGCCTGTAATCCTGCGCCTTTGGGAGGCTGAGGTGAGTGGATTGCTTGAGCCCGTGGGTTCGAGACCCGCCTGGGCAGTGAAACCTCATCTCTACAATAAATCAAAAAATCAGCCGGGTGTGGTAGCGCATGCCTGTAATTCCGGCTACTTGGAAGGCTGAGACAGAAGGATCACCGGAGCACAGCAGGTAGAGGCTCCAGTCTGGGCGACAGAGTGAGAGTCCAACTCAAAAATAAATAAATAAATAAATAAATACTAGAAAAAGAGCATTAACCATAAACCAATATTAAATGACATTTCAAATTTCAATTAAGTGTTCTATTTTTTCTCTTTGGCTGACCAGAACATCAAGCTTAAATTTAACAGAAAAGGAACTGGCATTTGGAGAAAATCTTAACTTGCAGAAATTAAAAATGATATAAATATAATGATATATTTAGTCATGCTCAAATATCCTACATGTGTTAGATGTTCAAAATTCTATGAAGATGACATGAAGACCATAAAGTTGAAGACCAAATATCAGTATTCAAACACAATTAAAAGAAATCTGAGAAACCAACACAGTTTTAAGTATACAGTGTTATCCCCATTCAAATGATCTTCTAACGGATCTTATATTGTACAAGTTAAGGTGGCAACACAGAAATAGCTTCCACACAAGTCCTTCCAAATAGTAAATCGTCTTTCTGCCAAATGCTTTGAAAAGAACAAAGAATTGGTAAATGCAGATAACAGAATTATTAAATTCCCAAACATAGCACAGCTGCTTCTCTCAAAAGTGCTCACATAAAAGTAGGGCTTGCTTTCTAAGGAAATAGCAAGAGGTAGGTGGAGAGAAGGACAGATCTACACTACACAGTAAAGATGTATCCAGAATAAGCCATACTACCCATCAAGACAAATTGCAAATCACACAAAAGCCAAACAATCTCAGTCTGCCTTGATGTTTTCACTGGCTTCACTCAAACACCTGTTGTTAGCAGTACTAGAGTCCCACTCCCTTCAGAGGTCTCTCTGTTTCACTCAGTGAAGTTCTCAGCCATCTTGCCTCAAAAACAAAGCTCACTACAGACCTAACAAAACTTTTCCAGAATGGAAAGCTAAAGTATTTTAAAAGCTTAATTCATTTTCTGTCCTTTCTTCTGCTGCTATTCCACCTGAAGGTTTCCACGATCACTTTTTAATAACAGAGGATTTCCAAACGGAGTTTATTTGAATACAAGACATCAGCAGATACACTCTTGGATACATCCTTCTGATCTCACCTATGTAGACAATTAAGTATTAAGTACATGATTACTTAACTATTTCCTCACTGTGTCTCCTAGGATGAAGTTTTTCATCTTACTGTGCCTCTGTGTCCTCATCAGTAAAATGTGGATACTAACAATACCAATCTCAATGAGGCTCTGTGAGGATTCATTCATTCCTTCAAAGAATATATCCTACATGCCTAATACATTTTTGGCATTGTCCCAGACACTGGAGATAAAACAGTGTTCACAGCTATCACTAAGCTTATAATAAAGGAGACAAACAAAAAGTAATGTGTTATGAAGAAAACTAAGCACAGACAGTGATCACATGCTAGAATCATCAGAGAGGTCTCTTTAAGAAGGTAGCACATGAGTAGACACCAGACACAGCCAGACATGCAAACACCTGGTGACGAGATTCCAAAGAAAGGGCTGTAAATCAGAGCTTTTTAATCAATTGGATGTTGGGGAAAGAGTAAAGAAAGAAACTAAGATGACCCCGAGTCTCTGGTAAGAGTAACTGGATGGACAGTACCATTTAATGCACTGGAGAATAAATGAGATGACAATGATCTCTGCAAGGCACAATGCCTGACAAAACTTCTTGTTCAGTAAGCATCAAGCATCTCTGTCATTTTTACCACCTCTCTATATAGCTGCTCAAATAAAGTTAGGGTAATTTTACCATAAAGACTGGATATCCTAAACTAACTTGAAGCAAATAAAACATTTAACGGTCATCTTTAGTGCTGAAAAATAGAAGTTTGACAATATGTCTTCACAGCAATGAGTAAAAGTACATCAACTTCGATTTACCAGATCAACAGAATTTACTTCCTTAAATATACATACCCACTGGTCGTGGAGGTACTTCCATCTGCTGGAAATTACTTTTGTCTTGGGGAAAATATCCTGTTGAGATTTCAAGGTTTTTTGACAATTCTGAAAATAAAATATACATTACTATATTATTAATTTATTATTTGCTAAAAGTGAAACTTACTCTCTAAATAAATGTTTCCTCTTATGTTTTGAAAAATTTTAAAATCTAAAAAGAATAGTCCAGCTTTTTCCTCTGAATAGTCTATCTTCCTAAAGAGGAAAAAAATGTAAATGTGGAACCAATTTCCAATTGAGGATTTTTTCCCCCCTCACTCTTTTACTGTTAGTCAAATATAATTATTCGTTAAAATGAAAACATCTGCAATGTACGTGAAGAATTTGCTACAAAGAATTCAAGGAGTATTCCTCTATGCTTCTTAGTTCATCTTCCCTTTCCCTTTTACTACAATTATGTAGTTCCTGAGCACTTCAATTTTCATTCATAGCTTTTTAAAAAGTTGTCAAAAACAAGAGTTAAGCATTATCTTTCAAGACCTTTACAATTTCTTGTCACACGTGATTATATATTCAGCAGTTCAGTTGCAATAAGAATGAGAATAAGGAAAAGGTTAAAAGTAAATTTTGCTGGGCTCGGTCGCTCAGTCTGTAATCCCGTGTCTTTGGGAGGCTGAGGTGAGTGGATTGCCTGAGCCCGCGGGTTCGAGACCCGCCTGGGCAACTTGGTGAGACCTCATCTCTACAATAAATCAAAAATCAGCCGGGCGTGGTTGCACGCACCTGTAATTCCGGCTACTCGGAAGGCTGAGGCGGAAGGATCGCTGGAGCCCTGCTGGCTGCGGTGGCCGGGAGCGGCCACTGTACTCCAGTCTGGGCGACGGAGTGAGACTCCAACTCAAAAAAAAAAAAAATTGTAAAATATATTGCTAAAAATGACAGGTTTGGGAGCCAGACATGACAATGTTAGAATCCAGTCTCTGTCATAGATTAGAAAACTGGGTAATTTGGGGCAAGTTACTTTACATTTCTAGTCTTATCTATAAAGTAAGACTAAAACATCTCAAAGGACTGCTTTAAGATTTAACAAGAAGTTACATTTAAAAATCAATTCATTCAGTGCTCCACAAGAAAACTTAAGAAACAATAGCTGTTGTTTTTGTTTTTAACAGCAGTCCAATAGTTGCAGCAGCAGCAGTACTAGTAATGGTATAGAGAAAAATATGGTGTAACAGATTAAGCAATCAAAACTTTTGTTTTTAGCCAGGTGTGATGGTGCACACCTGTAGTTCCAGCTACTTGGAAGGCTGAGGCGGAAGGATCACCGGAGCATAGCAGGTCGCAGTGACTGTGAGCGTGCCACTGCACTTCAGCCTGGGCGACAGAGTGAAACTCCGACTTAAAAAAAAAAAAACTTTTGTTTTACTTTTACTATTTACTATTCAAGCACATAAATTACATGAGCATTTTTTTTCCTCAAATCAATTCAATTACCTTCCATGTTCAAGACACCCTCCTAAGCACCAAAACATACCAGGTGGTGCCAACATTGCCATGACTAGTATGTGGTGGGTCCTTTGCATATTATAGGCATTGCCTCATTTAGTCCCCACAACAATTCTGTAAGAATGATATTCTTTCTTATTATCCCAATTTTGGATGAGAAAACTGAAGCCTAGAGGGTTAAGTCCCTTAGCCAAGACCACACAACTAGCAACAAAAGTGAGACTTAAATCCACGTCTCTTTGACTCTTATTTTAACTAGAATACCATTATGTGCTACAGTGTATAAAACGTCTGCATTATATAATTTTTTATTGGTCCCCATAACAAGACCATGAACTAGGGCAGATAACATTATAATAAATATGAAGAACAAGGTCCAAAAATGCAAGTATAAAACACTAGAACAATGTCTGAGACATAATAATGAATGTTCAATGAAAATATTTTGTTATTGTAAGAAAAAACCTGTCAAGCTGTTTTTGTCACAAAAACAAAGTCATTGGCACACTTTAGGCCTGACCAAAAAAGTAATAAATATAAATGCATCCTCCCTTGACTAACAGTAGAGGAAAAGAAAAAAGGCCAAATCATGCAAGTTAACATAGAAAAAATAAGTTTGAGAAATCTAGTGCCCCTTTCCTTAAAATGTACCACTAAAACCAATAAATTTATGAACTGATTCCAAAGAGTTACCAGTGTGATTGGTTTGGTGCGAAGCAGACTGCAGTGCAGGAACTTCTGAAGGAAGAATGAAAAGTCCATCCAGAATGCCATCAACTTCAGCCTGTAGATTTGGCTCCACATTAGATCGAAGCTTAGATAAGAACTCTACTGCACCAAGGTCAACCAAATGCTGCACTGCTGGGGGATACTAAGATAAGAAGAGAACAGTCTTAAGAATGACTATAGAGCCGGGCTCAGTGGCTCAGCCTGTAATCCCGCGCCTTTGGGAGACTGAGGTGAGTGGATTGCCTGAGCCCGCGGGTTTGAGACCCGCCTGGGCAGTGAGACCTCATCTCTACAATAAATCAAAAAATCAGCCGGGCGTGGTAGCGCATGCCTGTAATTCCAGCTACTCGGAAGGCTGAGGCAGAAGGATCACCGGAGCCCAGCAGTTCGAGGCTGTGGTGGCCGGGAGCGGCCACTGCACTCCAGTCTGGGCGACAGAGTGAGACTCCAACTCAAAAAAAAAAAAAGAATGATTATAAATGCCAAAATCTCTAAATTTTATCTTACAGCAATCAAAATATGACATTATTTTTGATATACCAGATGTTCCAGTCTGGAAAAACAAATCCTTCATTGCTCCTGAAATAAAGAATTTCCATGAATAGCACATAAATTTATAAAGACAAGCATGAAACACTTGATAGCTTTTATGAGACAAGCCAACACACTGAACACCAGAAATGCACACTATCGTGGGTTCAAGACCCGCCTGGGCAACTTGGCGAGACCTCATCTCTACAATAAATCAAAAAATTAGCCAGGCGTGGTAGCGCGTGCCTCTAGTTCCAGCTACTTGGAAGACTGAGATGGAAGGATCGCTGGAGCCCAGCAGGTCGAGGCTGCGGTGGCCGGGAGCATGCCACTGCACTCCAGTCTGGGTGACAGAGTGAGACTCCAACGCAAAAAAAAAAATTCCTAATCTTTAAAAAAAAAAATTAGGTTTCTCCTCTGACACTCACCTTATTGTCTCTTACCCTCAGCCAGTCAACAGGATGTCTAAGTAGTAAGATTCCCCTAGGACTAAATAGTGATTTACAGTTTTGAAAGGTAAACCTTACACTTTGACAGTTGGGTAGGCTTAGGAACACAAAGCTAAAATCAAATATGAAAAAAACAACTTAACATTGTTATTTATTCATCATAGTCTGAAACATTATTTTAAAATATATTCTCGTTCATACAGACACAACTAATTTCTGGTGCAGGTATTAGAAAATAAGGAAAAACAGAATGACAAATACTACCCTCCAAAAATGATTCCAAACATACCAGAACTCAGAAATAGTTCATTTCTACTCAGAATACAGTAGAGATGATGTGGGATGCAACAATACAAATAAAGGGAAAATTAGCTATAGATACCCAGATGAGTTAAAATTCAATATCTCTAATTTTTCAAAAATTTTTAAACCCGGATGATTTAACATTGAATAAATGTTACAACTGAATGACTAAGCAACACACACTCGTTTGGTTACTTTCTTTTTTCTTTTTTAATTTCAAAACGATCCTACCTTAACCAATCTGTTTAACAGGTTCAGAACCTCTTCTTTCATTGGAACAGACGGGAAATTGAACCATTCCAGCAAGTGGAGAAAGAGTAGCCTCTCCTGAATGAGGTCAGCATAGCAGATTAGGTTGTGCTCAACCTTGCACAAAATACTCTTGAGGGCGCGTTCCCTGATCTCGGCCAGCTGATGACCTGTCAACGTACAGCACAAAGTTATTTGATTTCCCGACTGCAAAGAGACGCCCACCCAGAATGTATTACAAAACTTTGTTATTTATGCTGGGGGTAGGAGCGAGGTAAAGAAATAAATGAGCTTTTTGAGAGCAGGCCGCTGGTGCATTCGGGACGCGAACCGCGGAGTTTACACAAAGTCTGACGTGGGTCCCCGAGGGGCTCCCCTGGCAAAGTGGGGGCGAGAAAGGAAGTCGTGGCGGGGTGTCCCGGCTGCGGATACATGTCACGACCATTCTCATCAAGTGGCCACGACAAGAGGACGCCTTGGGTGAGGGACGACCAGACTGTTACCGAGTTTCCTGATAAGCCCAGGCAGGACCATCGCGTCCCCACAATCTGCTGCCGCCGGAGAATTAAACGGCCGCGCCACGGGGTCCGGCCAAAATTAATGTCCCCCGGAAACTCGGCCTGGGGGACGCCTCGTTCCGCAACGCCTAACCTAACCACCCAAGAGGTTAGAGCCATTCGGTGAGCTGTTTTCTCCCTTGTGTCGCCCAGAAGAGCTGAGAGTATCTCTACAATTACTATTATGCACTGTCTAGAGAGCAGTGTGTGTCACAAGAAGAGGAAAGAACGAAGGAGCAAACGGGTACAATCGCTTTGGCCGCCGCGCACGCCGGGAGTTGTAGTCCTTTCTCAGCCGTGCAAGTGCTCCCTGCACGGAGCGCCGGCGTGGCCACTGCGTTCTCGCGCCTGGAGTTCCGGTTCCAAGCGCGGGAATTGGGTACTGCAGGCGCGGGCTGCGGAGGCAGAAGTCCAGCCCACCTGGCCCGCCTCCTCACCCTCCGAGGATTGGTTCATGACCCTGCCAATCTGGATTATCAGCGCCCAGAACACTACAATTTAGAATGTAGACTTTTATTTTGTTTTGTGAGAATTCTCTAGTCCATGCCACCCCGTCCCCGACTAATACAGAACTAACACTCTTTAACTGTGAAATGTACCCGCAGTGTCAAGCAGTGTCTTTGGACACCTAAGTTCATATATTGAGAGGGCTGGGAAATAAGTGAACAAAAGAAGAAAAGGGGGCAGTAAAAAAGAAAAAAAAAAAGCCGGGGGTAGGGGTATGAATGCCATCAAAGTTGATTTTTGCACCATGTACTGTAATCGACCTGAACAAATAGGTTTTTAACATTCTAAACAATCTTAAGAGCAACAGTAAAATTATATTTGTAAAAGTGATTTGTATTTTTTAGAGCTTTTTAATCTCACTGGTCTTCTCAGTTTCCCCGGGGAAGGTAATGTCAAGGCAGGTAAAGTCTTCCTGGAAGTTCCTCTGTATTCCTGGAGGATTGGTTTCAGGAGACTCTCCCATACCATCTATGTTTAGTCCCTTTTATAAAATGGTGCAGTATTTTCATATAACTTGTGCACATTCTCCCATACACTTCAAATCATTTCTAGATTACCAACAGTACCTAATGCAAATAGTGTAAATAGTTATATTTTTATTTACATTGTTTTTATTGTTGTTTTGTTATTTTAAAATTTCCTGGATATTTTTTATCCTCCATGTGAAGGGTCACTGTATCCCATTCCAAACCAGAGAGGGAACTTAAAATCACAGAATGACCCCACACAAGGTCACATCGACTAGCAACATAAGGTCACATCAACCTGACCTTATTTTTTATTTTGTTGTTGTTGTTGTTGTTCTGTTCATATGACCTTGCTTTGTCTGCATGTGTGCAGATGAAGGGGAAAAAAAAAAAAGTGACGATAATTAAGTTGGATCTTGAAGAGTAAGTAGGAGTTTGTCAAACAAAGAAGCAGAGTAAGGGAATTCCTCCCAGAGAAAACTATTTGCAAAGGCAAAGATTCAGAGGGAGTGTGTCAAATTCAGGAACAATGAGAAATTCAGGGTGACATACCACCTCTGGAAGGAAGAAAGGATAAGAAGGCTGCTGGATATTCTTCATTTGGCCTTCCAGTGGCTCCTCCCATCTCTTTCTACCTCTGCAGCAACTGACCTGCACAGATGAAAAGACTGCCTCATCCAGGCTGCCTGGCCCTCTGGTTGGCTGTTACCAATGGGAGGCACCAGTAGGAAAGTGGAGAGTGGGAGGAGAGTGGTGTGGAGATTAAACCTGGAGTGACTGCATCCTTCAACTCTAAGGCCACACAACTCCTAATGGATAATGTGCCAAGTGGACTAATGGTTGTAGTGCCAGTACGAGAGACTGAAGAAATAACCCAGAGACAACAGGAGAGACATGGGCTTTATTCAGGAACTTACAGGGAATGTTCAAGAGTAGCTGGCTGGACAGAAGAAAAACACTCCCGATTTCTTTATTTCTTTATTGGTTTGTTTGTTTGTTTATTTTAGTTGGAGTCGCACTCTTCCTCGCCCAGGCTGGAATGCAGCCTCGACCTGCTGGGCTCAGGCGATCCTTCTGCCTCAGCCTTCCAAGTAGTTGGAACTACAGACACGCGCCACCACCCCCAGCTAGTTTCTGTGATTTATTGTAGAGACAAGGTCTCACCAAGTTGCACAGGCTGGTCTCAACCCCCGGGTTCAGTCAGTCCTCTCTCCTCGGCCTCCCAAAGTGCTGGGATTACAGGCTGAGCCACCGCATTGGCCCACTCCCGATTTTAAAAGGCACACGGATTATATAATATTTCCATGGGGTTTCTAGCACACAAGAATAGCGCCAGAACATGTTTTCATGCATCGCATGTACACAAAATGTCTGTGTTCCTTCTCCAGGGGTGGGATTTTTAGTATTATAATAATCCCACGGGGGTTATGGACACGGGGGAATTGGTCTAACCATGCCATGAAGGTGTCTGGAGCCCATTACAACTGAAATGTGGGTACCTAATGTTTGCATAGGCTGAGTTGTGTTATGGGAATAATCTGGGATACACACATAACACTGAGTTCTAATGAAAGCATAAGTGCCGCTTTGGGCGGCAGTTAAAATATTTATCTAAGGCCAAGCACATTTGTGTAATCTATGAGGTTTCTTCCGCAAAAGAGCGATTGCGGCAGGTGTAGTTAAAGGCAGCAGCTCTGTGCTTAGCCAGGGCTTCCATCTGGAACTCTACATCTCTAGTTACCACCTGGGAGACAGAAATGGTTAAGAGGTAAAGCCACCAGGATGCCCTCCTCTGATGGTGATGTCTGGCTAGTATGTTCTCCCAGATAACAAGGAAGGTGTCTACACAGAACATAATGTACTAGCAAATAGGGAATGCTTGGACCGTTTTTCCTCATTTTTCAGAGGGAAGAGATTATTGGCCCAAGAGGGAATTCCTTTTACAACCTACTTTTACATTAATTAGGGTCCTAATTTATGTATAAAAATAACATATAAAATGAGCAAGCATGCCCAGACACGGTGGCTCACCCTGTAATCCCAGCACAGAGGCCAAGGCGAGAGGATGGCCTGAGCGCAGGGGTTCGAGACTAGCCTGGGCAACTTGGTGAGATCTTGTCTCCACAATAAATCAAAAAAATAATGTCAGGCGTGGTATCCGTGCCTGTAGTTCCAGCTATCTGGAAGGCTGAGGTGGAAGGATGGCCTGAGTCCAGCAAGTCAAGACTGCAGTGGCCATGAGCGTGCCATAGCACTCTAGCCTGTGCGATAGAGTGAGATTCCAACTCAAAAAATAAAAATAAAAATAAAAAAGCTAGCAATCAGGATTCCTAAACAAAAGGGCTCAATACCTATAGATGTATGGAAGTTATTCACTGTCCCCAGGGTAGGCATACATTCTATGTGTCTTCCAGGAAAGTCATCTGCACTTCTGCCTGACTTATTTAGGAATAAAGACTATGATTTATTAATAATTCTGATCACTATGAAGAAAAAAATGGCACAAGGTTTCATCTCTCACTTACAAATTTTCCTAATCATGCTCCATAATTTGGTCCTATGAATTCACATAGTGTTTAATTTTTAAGGGGATCATCGCATTCAAATTTATCCTCCCAATACCAATATAGAAAGTTAATAAATATTTTATGCCATTTTCAAGTGGAAGGAGTGAAACAAGATATATTCATATTCCATTTCAAATAGCAGAGCAACATAGATTGAAGATTTCTTTGCAAAATTTATTAAAAGTTGTCTTAATTAAAGTAAGAGGGAAGCAGACCAGGTTGTCTACTTTCACCACATCTTTTCAACATTGTACTGAAGTTTTACCAGGGTAAACAAGAAAAAGAAATAGCATCCATATTAGAAAGAAAGAATATTTCTATTTGTGGTTGATATGATCTTAAGTATAGAAAATTCTATGAAATTCACAAAGTAATTATTAGAGCAAAGGAAAGTCTTTGCAAGGTTGCAGAATACAAGATCAATATACAGAGTCAATTCTATATCTATACACGAGCAATAAACAATCCAAAATCAAATTTTTAAAAAATTATATTTACAATAACATCAAAAGCAATAAAATACTTAGGAACAAGTTTAACACAATAAATAAAAGACTTCTACACTGAAAATTACAAAACACCATTACAAGAAATTAAAGAACATGAAATAAATAAATGTCATGTATTGGGAGATTTAATATTATTAAGACAGTAATACCCTTGAAAATTGAATTACAGTTTCAAACAAATCTCTATCAAATATCCAACTACCTTTCTAGAAAAAATTGACATGCTTGTCCTAATATCCATATGGAGATCAAGGGAATTATACTGGCCAAAACAATCTTGAAAAAGAACAAAACTGGAAGATTTAACACTTTTCCATTTCAAAACTTACTACAAAGCTATGATATTCAAAACTGTGTGGTACTGGCATAAGGATGGACATACAGACCAATGTAACAGATTTGAAAATCCAGAAATAAACACACATTTATGGTCAAGTGATTATTAGCCAGTATATAAAATTATTGGTGAAAGAATAATCTTTTCAACAAATGAGATAACTGGATATCCTCATATGAAAGAATGAATTTTGGGTCCATATCACACACAACATGCAAAATTAATTCAAAATGGAGCAAAGAGCTAAATGCAAGAAATATAAAATTCTTAGAAAAAAACATAGGCATAAATCTTGGTGATTGTGAGTTAGGCAATGTTTTCTTAATATGACAGGAAAAAAGATAAGCTGGACATCAAAATTAAAAATTTTGTACTTTTATGAACACTATCCAAAAAAATGAAAAGATAACACACAAAATGGGAGAAAATATTTGTAAGTAATATATCTAATAAGAATCTATTATTTAGAATATATATTTATTTATGTATATATTTATAATATATAATATATAAAGAACAGTTACAACTCAAAAATAAAAAGACAACTCAATTTTTAAATGGGCAAAGAATCTGAATAGCCATTCCTTCAAAGAAAATATATAAATGGTCAATAAATGCATGCAAAGGTCCTCAACATTATTAATCATCAAGG